ATTTTTATTAAATTTTTTTTTTTTTTTTTTTTTTTTTAAATTATATATTTTATTATCAAATGAAAAAGTAAAGTATATTTTTAACTATTTAAAAAATTAATATTTTTTATTAATACATTTTTTTTTTTTTTCTTTTCTTGGAATGTTTTATAACCTTTATTATTGATTTAGGAGTGTGTAGTTTTAACACAAAAAATGAAATGGAAAAAAAAATGAAAAGGAAAAACACTTAATTTAAAAGAAAATCTTTAATAACCATATTCTTATATATATTTTCTTTACATCTAAAATTAAAGGTTAAATATCTGTAGAGAAAATATTTTCAAATAAAACTATAGAAAAATTATGTATTAAATTAAAAATAAAGCCTGCCTAATTTTTTTATTTTTTGTATATAAACAAAGATAAAAAGAAAAAATTTCATATCTAAAGAGATGATTAAATAATTTTTATCTACATATAAAATAAATTAAAATAAAATGAATAACACTAATGAGCACACAAGTGAAAGTAATTATACACCTAATTATAAGTGCAATGATTTATCTGAAGTAAGTTCTTACAAAGATGAAAATGTAAGAGTTTTAAGTAAGGAAATGATCATTGATAAATATAATATAAAACTTAATAATGATAAAAAATATGACATAAAAAATAGAATATTAGATAATGAGGAAATAATATCAGATAAAATAAAAAATATAAATAATAAAAAAAATAGCATAGATTTTGAATCGTTAAACGAAAGTATTTTTAATATAAACATTAATTTAAATGAAAAAGATGAAGAATATGAATCTAAAGAAGATAATAATGAAGTAGATGAACAATATGAAGATAAAGAAGATAATGATGAAGTAGATGAAGAATATGAAAATGATAACGAAAGCAAAGATAAAAATGAGGAAGAAACAAAAAATAAAAGAAATGATAAAAACGATTACATAAAAAAAAGGGAAGACATTAAAAAGGAAAAAATAAAAAATTCTAATAACTATAATAATAATGAGTATTCTTCATATAATAGCTTAGATGAAGTAAATCAAATTTTAAAAATAAAAAATAGAAATATATTGGAAAAAAAAAACAGATATACATACATTTTACAACATAAAAAAAGAATTAGAGACAAAAAAAAAGAAAAAATAAACATAGAAAAAATAAATAACCATCTAAAATCAAATTACTTAAAAATAAATAAAACCTCAAAAGAAAATGTTAAAAGAGCTAGTGTAGCTACTATAATGTTAGAAAAATTTTCTAATAGCGATACAGAATATAGTGATGATAATTCATATGATTCTAAAAATTAGACTAAATAAATTTTTAGAAAATAATATTTACTTTATAATAAATCAAATTAATGATATAAAAAAAAAAGAAAATGGTAAATATTTAAGAATAAAGAAATTGCTTTTTCATTTTTTATTTTAAATAGATGATATTTATATGTGTTTTTATTCATAAAAAATATTATATTCTTTCATCCTTTTGTTCATCTTACACATTAAATTTTATAATTTTTTCCTTTTAATATAATATTTCAAATAAAAACAAAAAAAATTTTTTTTATTAATATTTGTATGCAGAAAAATATTATAAAATAATAAATTTTTTAAAATGTCTTACATGAAAAGTAAGGAGTATCAGAATTTTTATTTCTAATTGTTTTCGTTAGAATTGTGAAAAATAATTATATATATATTTTTATTATTAGAAGAATTCCTTAAGTGTACTTTATATAATGTTTATAAATATGGAAATGTATTTTTATTATTTTAGTTTTATCTTTATAAGCTCTCTATATATTTTTTTTTTTTTTTTATTAATATTTCGGTGCGAAATATTGCATGCCGTTTTTTATTGCCTCTTCTAAAAAAAAAAAATATAAAAATTTTTTTTTCTATATATATTTAAGGAAAAATAAATCTAATGAAATTCTTTGAAATATAAGAAAGTTTAAAGAAAAAAAAAAAAAAAAAAAATGAATATAAAAATATCCTCTATAAAATTAATTTTTTTTTTTTTTAATTTAAAAATATAAAATGATATTAAATGAGGATATAAAAATACCTTTAAGTAATGTATATTTATATAAAAATGGAGAATTAGAATTAATAAAAGAATTAGAAAATGTTTTTATAAAAAGAGTAAATACATGCTGTAATAGCATAAATATAGTGTTAAATTCTAATGATAAAAACAAATATAATACCTTGATTAAATTAAATGAAGCAAATAATTGCAGTAGTAGCTATTTAAACATTTCTTATAATGACACATGTGATTTTAATTTTATAACATCTGATTTGAATTTATATTTATTTTATAATAATTATAAAAGACAAAAAGAATTTAAAAATTTAAATAATGAAAATTCAAATAAGCAATATAAAGAAGAATTTACTGCAAATGGCAAAAATATAAAAAACCAACATGAAGAGGGATCTAAAAAAGATAAAGGAATATTGCAGAGAAGAAATATAAAAAATTTTCTTTTAAATAATGAAAAAGATAATGTATGGAATTATAAAATAGAAAATATTCATGAAAAAGAAAAAAAAATATTACATATAATTTTTGAAAAGATATTTTTTTGCTCTTCAGAATTTTACGGAATTAACGAAGAAAAAGAAGTATACAAATGGAATATTGATATAGATAATGATAAAATAATTTATAATTATCACTCAAAATTTATTAATTATATAAATTTTTCTGAAAAAGAAAAAATTATCGATATATCTTGTGGAAAGAATCATGCTCTTTTTTTATCAAAAAAAAAAAATTGTTATGCTTGCGGTAGTAACTATAATTACCAGGTGTGTGAAGAGAAAAAAATTTTTTATAATAAACCAAAGTTAGTTGTACTTGATAAAAAAAAAAAAAAAAAGGTAAAATATATTTCAGCTGGTTATTCTCATAATTTAATTTGCACATCAGAAAATGAAATATATGGATGGGGAAATAATATGCATGGTCAATTACTTTCTTCTAATAATAATTTTGTAAAAGTTCCTTCGTTAATTTTTAATCAGAATATATGGAATAATTTAATGAAAAAAAAATTTAAGTCAAAAAATAAGAAAAAAGAAGAACTTATAATAAATGGAAATAAAAAGTTTCATGAAGAAATAAAAACTAAAGAAGTCTACGAGATATTAGAAAGTAGAGAAAAATCATTTATGGATGAAAAAGATAACGAAAAGATTGATGAAATTAAAAATTTGAATGAACAATTTTTTAATTTAAATAATATTAAATGTAAAAACAAAATAGAAATTAAAAAAATTTGTTGCGGTTTCTCTTTTTCATGCATCCTTTTAAAAAACAAAAATTGTTATATTATAGGTAAAACAAGATATAATTTGAAAGAAAATTTTAATTATCCTGTTAAAATTAATAAAAAAAAAAAAATAGATAATGTTTTTTGTAATTTTTTTGATATTATTCTTGTAGATCATCTTAAAATACTAAAAACATATCCAGCGATAATTAAATCAAATTGTAAAAATTCTATTTTCCTTTTTTTCAATTTTAAAATAAAAAATTGCCTAGATTTTAATATAAAATTAATAGAAAATAATTTTAAAGAAAATAAAAAATATAAATATTCTAAAATAGATAAGGAATGTAAAAATAATGAAGAATTAATTAATGCTAACACTTTGCATCCTATAGACAAAAATGAAAAAGAAAATTATACTGAAGTTTTTTTTCATTTTAATTATTGCAATGACAAAATTATTTATAATCTTAGTTCTTCCAATTTATTTGATTCTTTTTCTAAGAATTTATGTGATATAAAATCCGAACATTCGGTATCATGTAAAATTAACAGAAATAAAATAAATAAAAAATTATTCTTAATTTTATATAATTCTATTTTTTACTTAAATAGTAATGAAAATATTATTTTATCAAATTATGAAGGAAAAATAAAAAGTATACTACCAAACAATTTAGCATTAATAAAAAATATAAAAATTAAAATAAAAATAAATAAAGCACCAATTTATGTCAAAAAAGATTATATAAATGTTTTATATCATTTTAAAGATGACAAAAATGAATATTATAAATTCAGTAGAGGGAGAATGAATAAAAAAAGAAAGTGCATATATACAAATACATCTTTTATAAATAGTAATAATAGTCAATCATCAACATTAAAACAATTTAATAGATGTGATATATATTTTTCACTTGGTAATAATTTTTACTTAAATTCTTTTCCTATTACTATTATAAAACCTGAAATATTAAATATTATTCCAAATAACGTTGATGTGCATGATAATAAGAATGTTAATATAAACATGCTACATCTTTCTAATAAATTTGAGTATCTTCATGTAATTTTATATAACCAGCATTTACAATTTATATACAAAAAAGCTTACTATAATTCTAAGGAAAATAATTATTATTTTTCTATACCATTAATTCCAGTTATACTTTTTAAAAAAGTTCAATCAGGTATTCAAAAAAAAGAAAAAAATAAAAATAAAATAGAAAAATAAATAAAAGTAATTATATAATTAGAATTCTAGTATGATAATAAAATATTTAAATAATAAAATTATAGTTAAAAGAGAAAAAAAAAAATGAAAACTATAAAATTAAAACAGTATAGAAATGTTAATTAATTATATTAAATATCATCACTAAAAATTTTTATGTTATTCGTATTAAATTTATTTTCAAATTTTCAGACTTCTTAAAATTCAATGTGTTTGCTTCATATAATAACGTGGAATATAGCAAAAATGAAATAATCTTAACAGTTTTCAATGTATAAATATATACAAAGAAGAAGAATAAATAAAACATTCATAAAAGTTAATTTTTCATTTAAACTAATTTTTTTTTAGGTAATATTCAAATTTATATAAATTTTTCAATTGTACTTCAAATTTATGTATGATAATTTTTTAAGAATTTTATTTAAAAATAGATATATTCTTTTAATAAATATTTTTAGAGTTTATATTTAATTTTAACATATATAAAAAACTTAATCATTAATTTATATTTTTTTTTTTTTATTAATTTTTAAAATAATAATAAAATAGAGAAGTAATTAAAAATAGTGAAAGTTGAATGTATTCTTTTTCAATATTAATATATAAAAAAGGTATTTACGTATTATTCTTTATATTCTTTTTTGAAAATTATTAAATATATTTTTTTAATTTAAATCTATAAGAAAAAAAAAAAAAAAAAAAAAAAAAAAAAAAAAAGAAAATACAAAAAATAAATGAATTCATAAAAATATTTTTAAAATATTATATATATAAAGCACAATTTAAAAAAAAAAAAAATATAAAATAAGCTTATATTTATGTATTGTACATAAACAAATATAAATATTTTTTTTCCTTGAACTTTATATCTACAAAAAAGTTTAAAAAAAAAAAAAAAAAATTCATAAATTATATTACAAATATATACATGAAAATGATACACATATAAAAATAATAAAAACTTACATCTTCTATATCTAATTTCCTGGCATTATGAGAATCTTCTTGTGCTTCTTCATCAGTTTCATCATCCAAAAATTCTACTCCATTTTGTCCATCATCATCAAAAATATCTGTTTCATTAATTTTGGCTGTTTCTGGTAATTCTCCATGAGTTTTTAAACTCCTTGCTTCATCTGGAGTATATCTAAAAATATGAAAAAAAAAAAAAATTTACGTAAGAATTAGATATATTTCTAGGTTTACTATCTATATGTATATATCTATATATATATATCTCTCTATATATATATATTGATAAGATTTTTCTTATATTATTTTGTATTTTCAATTATTTATTTATAATTACTTTGCTATAACATCTGCTTTACTATCTTGATAATCTCTCAAGGATACCAAAATTATATCTCCTGAATTAATCCATACTCTTTTCCTCATTTTTCCTCTACATATAAAAAAAAATTAAAAAAATTAGGAAATAAGAAGTTTTATATATTTATATGTATGAACATTTTATCTTATTATTTATTTTTTTCATTAAGTGACAGCTATCTGTTTTTTTTTTTTTTTTTTTTATTTAACCTAATGTGACATAATCTTTTTACTCCATCAAAACAATGAGCTTCTAATCTTCCATTTCCTAACATTCTTAAAACCTGAGCATATTCTAAAAAAAAAATATATATGCATATATATATATATATATGTGTGTGTTTCATTCTATTTATATGTATGGAGAAAAAAGAATATTAGAATAGATTATAAAAAAATCCATTCTTTTTCTTTTTTTTTCTACTCATATAAATGTGTATATGAATTTCTGATGTACCCTTTTTTATGCACATATTTTATTCTACATAAATAATTTTTAAAATTTCTAAAATAAACATTATTCATATTTATTTTATTATTATATATATATTTATATAACCTTGTCCTTCTTCTTTGTATAATAATTCTCTTTTTTCTCCTTCATTATCATTTTTTCCCCTTCTTCTATTTTTTCCTCCTTTACCTGTTTTTATTTATTTTAAATTTTTTATATAAAAGAAATGAAAATATATATGTTTTTTTTATATTATTTATATATATATATATATAAATGATACAAAACAATATATAAAACAATTTGATAAAATTTTGAAAAGATAATATAAATGAATATTAAAGAAATTGAAAATTTTAGCATAACAAAAAATAAATATAAAGAATATTAACCTTTATTTTTTGGCATTTTTAAAAATTACATATATAAAAGCTTATAAAAATTCCAAATTGAATTTACAAATGTATCTAATTTTTATTTGTATTTTTTTTTTTTTTTATAAGAACATATATACCGATGTGATGATATTATTTATTATAAAAATTAATTATATAAATTAAATGAGAAATTATGGTTATACTTATAAACACATAAAAGAAGCTTTTTTATATAAGTAATACATATGTTAAATATAACAAATTTTTTTTTCAAAAAAAAGGAACTAATACTATTTATATTTTTTTTTTCTCTACACTTATTAATATATAAAATTTAAGGTTTTAAATTTTTATTTCTTGTTCTTGTAAGTCAAAAAAAAAAAAAATAAAATAAAATAAAATAAAAAATAAAATTAAATAAAATACAGTAAAAAAAAAAAAAAAATAAAAATAAAAATATAATTAAATATAATATTTAGAGGAAGAAAAATTATAATAAAAAAAATATATAAAAATATACATAGAAATGGAAGAAAAATTAAAATAAAATATTTTGTTTTAAATTTATATATGCGTGTAAACATATATATATATACATATATATATTTTTTTTTTTTTTTTTACAATTAAATGAACGTTAAATCTAAGGAATTTCTTTTGTATAAAAAATTTATTTGAATAATATAAAATTATTTGTAAGAAAAAAATAATTTCAAATAGAAGTTTTCAGAAAAAAACTTCCATTTTAATTAGCTTAAAAAAATGGATATTTTTAATAACACTTTATAAATTGCAGAAAATTTATTTTAAAAAAAAGAAAAAAAAAAAAATTAAAAGTTATAAAGGTTTTTAAACTTAAATTTGTTTTAAACTTTAAAAAGAGAAGGTTAAAAAAAAATTATTATCGTAGAAATAGTAAATGTGGTAATATATTATTATTCTAAAGAATCAAAATAAATATTTATATTTGTTTTATATATATATATATACATATATATATATGAAATCATAGAAAAAATATTATGAATAATTAAAAAATACTAGAGAAATAAAGTTAAAAATGGAAAGTGTAAAATTTACAGATAATTTTATTAAGCTGGGTGAAGAAGGCCCTAGAAATGCAACAACCACAAACTTTTATGGGAGCTACTTTTTATCAGAGAAGGAAAATTATTTTGATATAAATGAATTTGAAAAGAACTTGGAAATGAATATACTAAAAAATGAGCATAATTTATTGATATTAGAAGTAAAAAATTTAAATGTTTCCATTGCTAATGCTTTAAGAAGAATTATGATATCAGAAGTACCAACTATTGCTATAGAAAAAGTAAATATTTTTCAGAATACTGGAATAATAGCTGATGAAATATTATGTCATCGTTTAGGTTTAATTCCATTTAAATTTGATGCAGACCTAATAAATTATAAAGAAGAATATGAAAAATATAATCACTTAAATTGTTTTTGTTTTAAACTTCATGTAAAATATAAAAAAATTGGAAATGAAAACAGCTTAAGTGTATATTCAAAAGATTTAAAATGGTTTCCAATAAATGAACAACAAAAAATAAAGTTTGAAAAGAATCATCCAAAAGTGGTTGATGATAATATTTTAATAACAAAATTAAGTAGTGGACAAGAAATTGAGCTAATTTGCTTCCTTGAAAAAGGAATAGGAAAAACTCATGCAAAATGGTCACCAGTTTGTACATCTGTATATAAGATGTATCCCTCTTTCACTTTTAATACATCTGAAAATTTAACAAAAGAGGAAAAATACGATTTAGTTAATATTTGTCCAAAAAATGTTTTTGATATAGAAGAAAGTGGAAATTTAGTTGTAAAAGACCCATTAAATTGCTCTTCTTGTAGAGTTTGTATTGAAAAATATCCAAAAAAAGTTTCTTTTCATAAAGTTAAAAATCATTTCATTTTTACCATTGAATCTACTGGATGTTTTTCTTCTGCTGATATTTTTAAGAAAGCTTTACTTATTTTAAAGCAAAAGGTTCTTAACATAAAGGAAGCATTAGAAGAAGAAACAAATACTTAAAAATAAAATAAAGAAAAAAGATATTTTAAGAAAGAAATACACAAATAGACAAAAAAAAAGATCATTTTTAACTACATAGTAAAAAAAAAAAAATAATAAAATAAAAAAAAAAAAAAAAAAATAATATAAATAAATAAATGAAATAAAATGAGTTAGAGATAGTTGAAACAAGTTTTCAAATTGTTAATAATTTTTTTCAATGTTATATTCTTAATATTTTTTAAAATTGTATATACAAAAATATTTTACTGTTTGATTTTTTATAATACTCATGTTAATTTGTTTTATAACTTTTTTTTTTTCTTCCTTTTATTTTAATTAATATATCTTTTTGTTTCACTTCTAATTATAATATTTTTTTAATTGTGAATTTTTTTTTTTTTTTTTTAATTTAATTGTAATATATATATTCATTAATAATTAAATTTTTTATTATTATTTGTAACTTATAATTTTGTAAATAATTTAAAACATAATACCATATAAATAAATGGATTTATGTTACTTTTAAGAAAAAGTAGACTTACATATTTTAATAATTACTATAACTTGTTTTAAAAATTATTCTTAAAAATTGAAGTTTTTTTTTTTTTTTTTTTATACTAATTGATTGAAAGTTTACTAAAAAGAAAGCTAACTAAGAATATGTATATGAACAAATATGTATTTTAATTTTATCTTTTTTTTTTTTTTATTTTAATCATTATAATTAAAACTAACACCTTTTTTCTTCATTCTAATTTGTTTTTTATATTTTGAACTGGAAATTTTATTTATTCTCTCTTTTTCTCTCTGTTCTTGTAGAAAGTCTTCTAAATTTTGTCTTATCCATAATTCTTTTTTTAAGTAATTTTTTTTTTCTTCTTCATTAAGTGAATTCCACTTCTCTAAAGAGATATTCATGTATTTTCTAGTAATATAAATTTTATCATTTTCATCATATTCTTCATTTAATATATTATATTTTATTAGCCACTTTAAGTTCCATTTTACATAGTTCCAAATGTATCTTGGTAAAAAAATAATTTTTACAATAATTAAATCAGAGATACCTATTCTTCTTGTTTTCTGGTTGTTTACCATGACTATTTCTTGTACAACATCTTCTTCTACTTTTTGTTCAATTTTTCTTTTTTTCTTTAAATCATAATTATGAAAATCTGGATATTCTTCTGCTATTCTATTTTGAACTTCTCTCTTAAATAATTTATTTTTTGAGCATTTTTGTATAATTCTTTTCACTTCATATCTATTATGAATATATTGAAACAAACAAATAAAAAGGCAAACAATCAACAATATCAGGATAACTTTAAATAATTTATAAAAACAGTAAAAACTGAAATATATCAAATTAACTATACTATTAGGATTATTCAAATAATAATCATAATAATTTCTGGTTCTTTTATTTATTAACATGTTAAAAGCTTTAACAACTTTTTTTTTTTTTTTTGAATCATGACTCTTTTTGATATTATTTAACTTCTTATAGTAAGAATATTTAATTTCTTCGGGTGATGCTTTTTGACTAATGCCTTTCCAAAAAAAAAAAAAAAAAAAATAAAATAAAATATAAAATAAAACAAAATAAAATAAAAATATATCTTATTACTATTTTTTTTTTTTTTTTTTTTATTTTAAATATTAAAAGTATTTTCAGATATGTATTTTACGCTTATGAATAATTTATTATCAATAATAATCGTAAATTTATTTTTTTTATCTAACCCAAAATTTCATAACAGTTTTCATTATGACAATAAAAGTGACTTATCACTTTTTTAAATAGACAATTTACATTGCTAATCAAAGTAAAATAAAATATAATGATAGCAAAATAAAATATTTTCATTGTTGGAATATAAATTGTATTTCAATTCTTTTTCTTTATTTGTTTTGGATTCTTTATAAATATATAGTACATATTTTTATTAAAATTAATTTAAAATTGTATTAAAAAAAAAAAAAAGGAATAAAAGCAAAAATAAAAATAAAAATAAAAAATAGTAAAAATAAAAAATTGAGAAAAAAATTTAAAAAATAAGAGTTGTGCACACTTTATGATTAGCATAATGCACGTATTTAAACTATTATTGTATTTTTTTTATTCAAAATAATACAGAAATATATTTCATAATTTTTTATTCTTCTAAGGATATTAACGACACCTTCATATAGTACAAAAGTAACTATAGTTTAAATATTAAATACGAGTTAAGGTAAAAGAAAAAAAAAAAAATTGTGATTTTTTTACATATATTTAAAAAAACAAAGTATATATATATTCAAAAATTTGAAGTATTACATATCAATTAAAAAAATAAAGGTTACTTAAAAATGAATAATTAATCTATAAATCTACAAAAATAATTTTTTTTTATCTTTTCATTTATTTATGTTATTTTTTAACAATTATATTTAATTAACAATCTGAATTATCAATATGAAACATATATTCATGTTATTTAATTTTTAAATAAATCATAACATTATAGTAGCTGCTAGTAATTCATTTTTTCCCTAAATATTTACACTTTATAAATTTGTTCGTTAAAAATTATTAGTCGAGAAATTTAAAATGAAGATTTTATTTATTTTCATTGTAATTTTTTTTCTCTTAAAACAAAAATTTAATTAAAATTAATTAAATAGGAGAACTGGTAACTATTTTTTTTTTTTTTTCTATGGAATATATATTATGTCTATCTTTTTTTATTATCTTAAATAAAAAAGGATTTATATAATAAACAAAATTTCTATTTTATTAATATATATAGAATATAACATCAATTATATATAAAACCTTATGTTTTAATTTCTTTTCTTTTTTTTTTTTTTTATGTTAGAATAGTTAATATTCTATTAAATGCCAAATTTCTTTTATATTGAATTTTCTACCAAAATATAGAGAAAATTTAGTACGTAGATCATATTTATACAGAATTTTATTTATACATATATGTTTTGATATATATATATCTTCTGAAAATGATTGCAATAATTTACACACTTAATTGTGTAGAAAATTAAAATAAAATAGAAAAATGAATATGAAAAGTGGAAAAATGTAGAAAAAAACAAAAAATAATAAAAAATTTGAAAAAAAATAATAGAAAAAAAATAAATATATAGAAAAAACAACATAGAAAAAAAAAAAAAGACAACTTTACATTTAAAAAATTACATTATATTAATTTACACATTATTATATAAATGAATGTAATTAAATTTCTTCTTTTTTTAATTATATACTACAAAAATAAGAACTAATTTTAAAAATCAGTATTAAATATATATAATGTGAAAAATTTAATTTTCTTTTCTCTTTTTCTACTTTCTTTTAATATGTTTTTTTTTCATTTTTTTTACTATTAAAATAATGTTATAAGATTCTTTTTTCATAATAGAAAAATCATTTTTTTTTTTTCTTATTTAAGCTATATAATGTCCTTCTTTTTATGAAGTTAAATTACATATTTGGAAAACATAAAAACTTATATAAAAAAAAATGATTCATATTTTATGAAATTTATTATTTTGTAAAAATTTAATAAATGATGTAGAGTTTTATGTTTTAAATATAAATGTTTAAAAATAGCAATTTAATTAAATTCATATATTAAAATGGAAAAAAAAAAATTATTATATATGCATTTCCCTTAATATTTAAAAATATAACTTTATATGAATCATCAAATATTACCTTAACAAAAATAGAGTTTTTGAGAATTTTTTTTTTTTTTTTAATTCTTTAAATGAAATTGTACATCATATTATCTTTTTTTATTATTTAATATTTCCCCTTAAAAAATTCCTTTTAATAAATACATATAATGTGTATATTTCACTATAAAGTATATATATATATTTTATATACAAAAAAAAAAAAAAAAAAATAAAATA